ACTTTAACAAAGTTGTCGCTATTCTAGATCAATACTATGTATTATTTGATATTTTTCAGATGTGTCAGGAACTTTATGAGTATACAAGTCTAAAAATTAGACATTTAAAGTTGAGTTGCAAATGGGGCGGGTATTCTCTATCTTTGTCCATTGGGCTTTTCTGGTTATGATATGTTGCAAACTGCTCATGAATCTATGCAATGTATAGTACAATACTTGGAATATATTTAAAAATAATGGGGTATAGTACTGTGATAATTATAACCAGTGATCAAGCCATATTGGTTGAATTCCCTCATATCAAATGCAATGTTGTCAAATGCTTGGTGATTTCCATATTACACCTAAGGGTGGTGTAATTAGGAAGTTCATGAAAGATATTGGGCTTGGGGATATTTTGGTAAATGTAAACATTGTGAAATGAAGAACAGCTAACAAGATGATTTTGGAAAGGATTACAAAATGGTAAAGCTGTCTTTGGTTTGTGAAGCAATGTTACTGTATCTCTAAAATGGGATGAATTTCACTTATGGCAGAGCTGCTATTGAACTTTGCAAAACTGATAGTTGCAACTTATCTATCAAATACTGATCATGAAGAAGTTGACACTCTCCTTATGGTCCATGTCTATTACAGTGCTGCAGACAAGACAAAGGAGTTCAATGTTGAGAGAATTTGTATTCAGTCTGATGATACAGAATGTTGCTTGCAAAGAAGGATGAGAGTTAAAAAGAGCTCTTAAAGTTTCTTATGTCCTTCAAGGTAGCATTCTAAATTACTATATGAATCTCAAAGTGCAATACCTATTTGAAGATATATCAAAGATGGGTGTCTTGTAAAATGGCAAAAGGCAGTGAAAATTGCTATACAAAGTTTCTAGTCAAGGGTGTATTGCTACTTGTCCATGTGGCAATAAACAACATAGTGCACATCGTTGGACAATATTTAAGGATGAGTTTCTCAGAACTATAAAAATTATTTAGAGATCTTACATATCTGAATAGCTTGTGGTGTCATGAGCAACTTAGACCTTTAAAATGCTTCCTAGTCAACTGGTACCCAAGACAAGTCGTACCTAAGACAACTGGTACCCAAGACAAGTCGTACCCAAGATAACTCGTACCCAAGATAACTGGTACCCAAGACAACTCGTACCCAAGTTATTTCCAGTATTATGGGTGCATATTAGGAAAACAAATTGAGTTTGTATAATTATGTTTTCATGTTATAATGTGACTCAAATAAGCCTCAATATTTTTTTGAATTTAGAAGACATTTTTTCTCAATGGATTAAGTAAAGCATTTTGATTTAACTTGAATCACCTTTTTTTACTAATAAAACAAGTGCTTGTTCACAACATTTTTTGTCAAACATATATATAAATAAATATAATTACAACAGTGACTTTTCTACAAATGAATCAAACAATTAATTTGAGCATTTTGAGAAAGTTTAAAGGAAGTTTAATCTGTTATTTTTTTTCCAATTGGAACAAAATTGGATTATGCACATGCATACTAAGTGTAATAATATATCATGTATGAATAAGTACCAAAATAATATTAATATTATACTATATTATTATTACTTGTATACTATTATTATATTATTCAAAATATTTTATTGCTAAATTTCATGAATATGACTTCTGATAATATGAAATCCTAGACAAATAGATTATCTGTTTAATAAGAAATTAGGCCCAAGATTTGATGAATCAATACATTTATAATAATACCATCTTCCAAGATGAATTAAATCTGACACTTGTTCCAAACACTCATAAACATACAATATTTAAAAAAATGATTATAAATGTGTGGAATAAACATATATCTCTTCACTCGAACATCCAATATAAAATAATAGTCAAAATAAATTGACACTCAAGGCTCAAAATGTTACAAAATTATATCAATTTCTTCTGAAAATTCTTCAAACTTCTGAACAGTATGTTACAGTTATAATATGTATATCTTTACACATTCCCAGTCCAACACTTGATTCAAAACAAAATATATGCTTGGGTACGACTTGTCTTGGGTACCAGTTGACCAGTTACCTTTAAAATGACTTAAATGCAGCTCTAACATAGAACCAGGGAGATTTGAAAAATCAGGCTGTTGCTGGATTAAGTTCGAGAGTTGTGAACAATCATGTCTATATAAAGACATATCCTTTGATTCATATGAGAGTAAACTGCGAAATTACAAAAGTATTTAACACTATGCTATTTTTGAGTAATCTTTTAAAAATATAGTAGTGTAGTAATTTTATCTCTAATATGTATATTTGTGTTTAAAACACATTTTCCATGCTTTGAAGATAACAAGACACATTGTTGAATATATATGATCTAAAATATGTCAACTAATCACCATTCAACTAAAAATATAAACAACTATTGCTGAAAGTGAAACATTGGTCATTTTGCCCATTTATGTGTCATTTTTTGATTTTAGTGTGCTAATAAATATGCTAAACTTTTGAAAAGTTTAAGAATATTATCATGCAATAATAACATTTGTGTTGGTTTTCTCATTTAATGGTGGAGGGCAGATCTTAGACCTCTAATAAAAACATTCGTTGTCTTACATACATTTTCTTTAAGTTAAATCAGAGAAGACAGATTCAATAAAAAACATATATGAATCTATCATCAAAGAATTATAATTGTGGAAAATTATATGCTACTGCTAAATGCAGAATGCTAAAAATGCCAAATTTTAGACACATGTAATCAAATGAAGGTTACATTAAATAATACATAGTATCGATAGAGAATAGCTACAATTTTGTTAAAGTTGATGATTTGAAATTACTTTTTCATTTACATAAATGGGGCAGGGGAGACATGAAAGCTATAATTCTGATAATATCAACATTGGTTGTCCAATATACATTTTCTATATCCTAAATAGAAGAAGACATTTACAAGAACAAATTTGACTAAGAATGCACCAACCAGTCAGCATTAAACTCAAGATATAAGGACCTATATGGTATTGCTGAAAGCGAAAATGGTCAAAAAAGCCATGTTTTGTCCTTAAATGTCTCATTTCTAGGCACTAGTTTACCAGTAAAGGTTCTGAAATATCTTAAAAACATTAAATAACACATAATATTGATATAGAATAGCTACAACTTTATTAAAGTTTATAGTTTCAAGTTATTTTATATTTTCATATTTTTCTTATATTTTTCATGATAAATGGGGTAGGGGAGATCTGAAAGCTCTAATATGACCATTGGTGGTCCACTATACATTTTCTATACCTGAAATGGAAGAAGACATCTACAAAAACAGATTTTATTACAATTGCAACAACCAGTAAGCATAAAACTCAAGATATGAGGAACTATATGTTACTGCTGAAAGCTAAAATGATTTTAAAAAATGCCAAGTTTTGTCCTTAAATGTCTCATTTCTAGGCACTAGTATACCAATAAAGGTTCTGAAATATCTGAAAAACATTAAATAATACATAATATTGATATAGAATAGCTACAACATTGTTAAAGTTTATAAATTCAAGTTATTTTATATTTTCATATGTTTCAGTAATTTTTCATAATAAATGGGGTAGGGGAGATCTGAAAGCTCTAATATGACCATTGGTGGTCCAATATACATTTTTTTGTATCTTAAATGGAAGAAGACATGTATAAGCACAGATTTAATCAAAATTGCAACAACCAGTCAACATTAAACTCAAGATATAAGGAACTATATGTTACTGCTGAAAGCGAAAATGATCAAAAATGCCAAATTTTGTCCTTAATTATCTTATTTCTAGACACTAGTACACTAATGAAGGTCCTTAAACATCTGAAAAACATTAAATAATACATAGTGTTAATATTAAATAGCTAGAGTTTTGTTTGAGTTGAACATTTTGACTTTTTGTAGTTTCCATTTTTAGCCAATTTTTTTCTAAAAAATTCAAGGTATGTCTTCCTCGGACCAATATTTAGATATGTTCGCAAGAGTTATATGCTTCGCAGGCGAAATCCCTTATGCAGGAAACCTTAATAGAATGAAAAATACAGAGAAACTCCATCCAGCTCACAAAGTCATTTTTTGCACAATTCTCACACCTTCCACCCCGAGTATAATCTTAAACAATTATTCCCTGAATAGGAGTATTGAATGACGTACACATGTGCCAAATATAAGGAAGTAGTTCTTCAAAATAACAAAGACATGAGGAAAATGAAGGGTTTCTGGTTTTTTTTACAACTCTGTATGTTGTCAAAATTTTTGAGCAGGTTATACCCTTTCTAATATAGTTTGGAAAATGGTCACAACACAATGTACAGGGTGTCCCGAAAGTATGGGCCCCCCTAGGCAGACATATTCCAGTGTCCTCATAGTATGTGTCATATATCAATTTAAAGCTTGTCCAAAGTTACATTGATTTGCCAAGTATCATGGTTTAACTCCCAAATGGGAAAAACAGTCATTTTAAAAGTTAGTGTTTTGTCAAAATAAAGTTCAATTTTACACCACATTACTAGTCAATGTGTCCCCCCTTGACCGTGTTAACAGCGGCAATTATTTTCAGATATGACCTTAAAAGTCCTTCAAATAGGAGTGTGTAACTTTATAACCCTCTTAAAACCTGTTAAGGGACTTTAGATGAGTTTTCTTAGAGTTTCTACCCTCACCGTTCTCTTTTTCCAACTCAATATCCATCCAATCCGAAAAGAATTGCTGCTGTTAAGATGGCCCAAGAGGACACATTGACTAGTGATTTGGTGTAAAATTGAACTTAATTTTGACCAAACACTAAACTTTTAAATACCTGTACTTTTTTCACATTTGAGAGTTGAACCATGATACTTGGTGAATCAATGTAACTTTGGATAAGCTTTAAAATGATATATGACACATACTATGACGACACTGGTATATGTCTGCCTAGGAGAGACCCCATACTTTCGGGACACCCTGTACATGCCAGTGCAACAAACTACCTTTGAGCAGCAGGGTTTGACACTGGCCACACTACAAACTAAGTCCAACTTGAATTAGATAGAAAGATGAAAGATCTGATAAGTTTTCGGCATGCTGGGACAGTAAACTACATAGTTTTGTAGTTTATTGATATGGTTGTAGTGTTGCCAGTGTCAAACCCTGTTGCTCAAAGGTAGTTTGTTGCACTGGCACTGGGCAGGAAAGCCTACACTGCGCCTGAAAAATTGAATTTTGAATTTCATTTTTGACCCTATTGGATTCATTGTTTGGCATAAGCCTCAGTTCAGCTGCGACATATTTTCCAAAAGAGTCATTCGTATCTTGCTTCTCTGGAGCACAAAGTTTGTCAATTGCCTCCTTGCAATCCTTGAGAAATGTTTCATTAGACTCTGAGGTTGTTTTCCTCTTACGTTTTGATGGCACTTGTACTGCTGGAGCAACCTCATCAGCTGTTTCATTTTCAAGTTCATCGATATCGCTTCCACTAGCGAAGCTCTCTCCTGTAAAACTCTCATCCTGTAAAAGCAATCATTAAAATATGAATAAATAATTGATACATAATTATACATCAATGCTCATTGGAGTGTTTGCCAGAAATTGTGATGTTTAACAAATTTTTTAAAATTTAAGTGCCCATGCAGCAATCAAATATGACACATATGGTTCATTCAATTTGACTGTTCAGTTTTGAAAATCATCGCTCAGTTCTACTGTTTTTTTAGATATTACTATTTTAGTAACATAAAGTAAGTAGCAAAAATAACATTCTGCCGAAGATTGACTTTTTTCTGGCAATGTTATGACAGTTAATGTAAATTATTACACAGTTTTCATGACTTCCAATACATGTATGTTTAAAATATCAATTTCTCACTACTCAGCTTAAAGTACATTCTGATCCTTTGAGAAAGTGCTTATCATATCACAAACTGTGATTTGTATATTTTCGCAAGATACTGTAAGTGAACCCTTGTTCATGTCACACCCATCATAGTTAAAGCCCCCATGCAATGTTTGAAAATATACTTTTATCATTTGTTTCCTTATTCATATCATTCATGACTTTAAAAATTATTTCAGAGATTTTTAGAAAATATAAATATGCTAAACTTCAAAAATAAACCAATGTTGATTGTTTCATTAGGTTGAAAAGAAGAATAGAGTATGTTTTAATATTACTGTACCATTGGTTTCTGTGAGAACTAAATTTTTGAAATGCAGTTTTCTCTGAACTATTTTCATGCATGGGTGAGTTTATTTCTTGCTAAATCACAGGGGTGGATCTGGGAACCAACAAGGGGGAGGGACAAATTTTAGGTCAGAGAAAAAATATCCAGTAAAACAATTTTGGGCCCCTAAACCCAAAAGTGGGCACAAATTTTGTTATTTTAATGCCCATTTTCTTCAAAATTTGGCCTGAAATTAACCCTCTCCCCAGATCCACCAGTGAAGTTGATTATAGCGAAAAAATCTGTGAATGCTATACATTGGTGTGAAGTATCGCTTATTAAATGATATGTGTGAACTCTAAAATTGATATTTACATTTTAACTTTACTGACTGTTCTTTCAAAAATTACAGAGCATGTTGAGGGCACTACAATAAATTAACACCTTGATATAGAGTACATGTACCTGTTGTTACATTTATGCACTTGAAACTTGAAATGTGCCTCCCTTGTTTTATATTCACCCCTGGGTCCTGTGATGACTTTTGCCAACAGTTACTAACTTTTAGATGTGGTTTTAGAAACCAATGAATGAAAATCAATAAACTAGCTAGTAAGGAAATGATACATGGCTCTACCAAAGAAACTTACCAAAGATATGTTTGACTTTGACTGTCTCATCACCCCTTGGTCCTTTAGAAATGAAAGGCTTTCGTAAAAAGTCCACGTGGGTTTGTAGATGTCAGCAGTCCCTGACCCACTCTTATAGCTCTTCCCCACCTTTTCCTTTTCCTTTCTGTATTGCCTCTTGAGGTTGTTCCATGTGTGTTTTATAGCATCAATGGTAACAGATTTGCCTATAAATATATAAAGAAAACACAAGATGAACAATATTGCACGGATATTGAGGCAATTATTCAGGCAAAAATTGTCTCATGTCTTCAATCAAATGGTTATTATAGTCCAGTAAAACTTTCTAAATGGAACACCTCAGGAGTCTGGAAATGGAACACCTTGCAAGTTCAGTTCAGTATGAAGTCACTTGAAAAGTGCTTAACTTTGTCACTACAGAAAACATTGCAATATAGATAAATAATAAAAAATTAGTACCATGGGTACTGGGCTCACATGGTGTTGCTCAAAAGTGAATGATGGCTAAAATGAAAGAAAATAAAAAAACTGATATAATTTTTTGGCCGTTTTTTTGTAACAAAATTATTTCATACAACTACTCTTTACAAAGACATGGCTTTTTAAAATGCAGGACACCTGAAATTATTCGTAAAGCTAGGAAAAGGGCAAAAAGTTACTTTCACAAGACAAAAATGGTGGCCGTTTTGAAAATAGGTGAGCATGGACATGGATTTTTACAATGCAGGACATCTGAAATTATTTGTAAAGCTAGGAAATGGGTCAAAACTGAATTTCGCGAGACGAAAATAGCGGCCATTTTGAAAATAGGCAAGCTTTTGAACCAGGAGTCATAGGGGAGTTTTCTGTATTGATGTTGAACAGAAATAACTTAAAACAGGAATCATATCGACAGCCCAATTGAAAAAAGCCTATGGAAAATCATCTCCAATTATCACCTAACTTACTATTGATAATTAGGTGAAAGTTAGGTGTAAAAATTCACATGCAAATGAGCTAATTATCAACTTAATTAACGCTTAATTTACAACTTAATTAACGATTAACTACCATCAATATGCAAATGAGCTATTTACGTAAATTAGTTGAAAGTTAGTTGTAAGTTTGATGTAAGTTAATCTCTAATTATCACCTAACTTACTATTGATAATTAGTTGAAAGTTAGGTTTAAGTCAGATTTGTGACATCTCAAAAATAACTCACTTCTTTTTTGCTTCTCTTCACTCGGATATTTTTGCTTCATCTTGAACTATTTTGTGACGGAATATTCATCTTAATTAAGATCTTTCAGAACAGACAACATTGAACTTGAACTATTGAAATTTCACAGCAAGAGGAGGGAAAACCCCATGATTCAATTGATGACATACAATTTCCTCCTTCGCACACCTCCTTTTGTCGAAAACGTACCCTCCATCTTGGTTTTCAAAGTTTTCAAATTGACCTAGTTTTAAACCAATCAACGATCGACTCACTAAACCAATCAGCGACGATGTCATCTCAATACAGATTTACATTATAAGCGTATGTCATCTTTGAACCCTGGGGTTTCTCCCCCTCTTTTTTAAAGCTATTCTATTTTGCAAATTTTTAAGATTCATGAAAAGCATGTGAAAACACATCATTATTGCCATCAACAACTAAAATCAGAACACAAACATTAGACTATAATGTTACATAATAAGGACGTAACAGATATAATCAAAAATATGTTTTGAAATGTCTTTGATCTAACAATCATTATTTAGAAGAGCACATTTAGATTACTTGTAAAATATAGGTAACCCATGTTAGTACCTAAATTGCATTCTAGGATTAATATTATATGATCTGATTCAAAAAGATTTTTAAATTCATAAACATTTCAGACAGAAGTGTGAATAAGATTAAACATACATTTTATTCATGTTCTACATACCCTTATAATAATGTTGACCAAATTTCATGGTAGTATACGCACCATTCACGTTGTAATTCTCAATTTTATGAGAGAAATATCTCTCACATGTTTTCTTTTTCCACCATCTTGAAATTAAATTTAGGTGGTTTGTATTTCTAAATCATGGGCCTAATTTACGACTAATTATCATTATAATCATCCTATATGTTAACTATCAACCAATAATCTACTTCAGAACAAAAACGTTTTAATTTACCACTTACTATCACCCTCAAACATTTCATTTCTTAATTATCAACTAAAAATCATAAATCAGCATTATTGTAAGTAAATTTACGTTGAACTTGCTACTGATAATTAGGCCATAATTATCATTGATTTAATTAACGCTTAACTTTAATTCCAATTGCCAGCAGAATTGTTGATAATTAGTTGTAAATTAGTTGGTAATTAGTTTTATTTTTCAATTGGGAGGTTTTATTACGGGCCACTATTGTTGACGGAAAAGTGTATTTTGAGTCAGATGGACAAATCAATGTTAACTAAAATGGTTGAAAATAAAAAAAAAACAGATATGATTTTTTGCTGATTTTCTGTAACAAAATTATTTCATATCACTACTCTTCACATTGACATGGATTTTAACAATGCAGGACACCTGACATTATTTGTAAAGCTAGGAAATGGGTCAAAAATGAATTTCACGAGACAAAAATGGCGGCCATCTTGAAAATAGGCGAGTTTTTGAACCAGGAGTCAGAGGGGAGTTTTCTGTATTGATGTTGAACAAAAATAACTGAAAATGGGAATCCTATCGACAGAGGTTTTTAAAACGTGCCACTATTGTTGACGGACGGACGGACGCACGAACGCACGGACAGACGGACAAGTGAGTGATTGCAAAAGCTCACCATGTGAGCTAATAATAAAAAGGATGGCAGTAAGCGTATGGTCAGGCAAGATGCAAGAGTATTATAAAGAGAAATCTGTCAAAAGTCACTTCTTATAAAATACTATTTATGGAATTGCTTGGACTTCGGTCTATGGTTCTACACAGGTGGTAGATACCATTTCCTGTCAGATTGATATTGGGAACTGTTTCTATACCAGAAATACAGTTACAAGTTTATTCAATCACACATATACGCCTTGCAGTTTCACTCCTTGACTTCTATAGAATTTGAATAATATTACAAAGTAATGCAGGGCTGTCAACTTGGGACCACCTAATATGAGTGACTTACAAATGTTGGACACCGAAGTCCAAATCTGAACACTTTTGTCCAAATTTTGAACACCTTTGGCCAACTTTTAAACACCTTTGGCCAAAGAGCACCTTTGCTAAACTTTTATAACCTCAAATTTTTCGCGCTATAGATATTCTGGCACAACTATGGTTATGGTAAATCTTGTGCAAGTATCTGGCGTAACCTTGGATCATTTCATTTAGTCATCTGTTGCAAGACTTATACCTGGCACAAATGTAACCATGTCATTTAGTGTTTTTAAGTTTCGCAAGGATCCAGGTATGACCGTGGTTATGTTATTGTGAAAACCTGGTATAACCGTGACAATGCTATATTATATTGCAAGGACTGTCGTGACTGTGGTAATGTCAAAGCCTGATATGACCAAGCCTGATATGACCGTGACAATGCTGTATTATATTGCAAGACCCGTCACAACCTTGGTGATTTTAAAGACAGCCAGGTATGACCATGGCAATGGCTGTAAGGCCTGACATGACCGTGGTGGTGTCAGTGACAATGGTTGCAAGGTCTGTCATGATCATGGGAATGTTAAAGCATGATATGAGAATACATGAGAATACTGCAATGAAAAATACTATCATTTAAAGGGGAAACAAGGACTGTAGAAAGAAATACACAAGACATGTCACGACCGTGGTAATGTTTAAGCAGAATATGGCCATGCTAATGGTTATATTAAATGACAATTGGTAGCATGAGAATAATGTAATGAAAAATATTATCATTTAAAGGGGCAACAAGGACTGTAGAGAGAAATATATAAGGCATGCCATGGCAGTGGTAATGTTAAAGCAGGATATGACCATGCTAATGGTTATATTAAATGACAATTGGTAGCATGAGAATAATGTAATGAAAAATATTATCATTTAAAGGGGCAACAAGGACTGTAGAGAGAAATATATAAGGCATGCCATGACAGTGGTAATGTTAAAGCAGGATATGACCATGCTAATGGTTATATTAAATGACAATTGGTAGCATGAGAATAATGTAATAATAAATATTATAATTTACCTTAATACGTAAATCTAGAGTACTATACATGTGCAATTGTGCATGGTACTCACATACGTTATACATAAAATAAAAGACATAAAATTTTAGATTCATTTTAACTCATAATTCATTTCCACAAACTATGATTCTAATCTTATTCATGAACGTTCGATTGGATAACACATACTTTCTGTGATTATCAATTACCAAGGTAGAAACTACGCTAATAACAGCAAGAGGCAAAAAATAAAATAAGCCATAAATGTTTTACATTAAATGTCTTACAGGTCACACCAGGCTTTCACGATTACACTACCTTGGTCATGGCTGGATCCTTGTGCAACTTAAAAACACTAAATAACATGGTGACGGTTGTGTCAGGCATAAATCTTGCAACAGATGGGGTCTCCATTTAGTGCTGTTTTTCAAAATTGGGCGGAAGCTTCAAATAAAAAGCAATTTAAAGCTCTTTTCTTCTGTCTAATGGTTCTATTTTTATTGGTTATAGGGGGATTACATTATGTATGCCCATGCCTGTACGAAACCCATGACTAAATTCCTGTTTTTCTGATGATGGGCAACAAGACACTTGGACGATATATACATGTAGCTATAGTATTTCCATGTTCTCAGTACACCATTACATACATGTAGAATCAAATGGATGCACATATACTGAATGTAATTTTGATACAAAATTTGAATGAAAAAATGTTACAAAAACGTAAATTTCTTTCAAAAGAATATATATGATAACAGGAATGATACAATAGGTGTGCAATTCACACACAAATGGAGCAATAACACGGGACATTGATTGAATTGAAATAAATACCATACGAGAAAACATTTTTTGTGCAGCCATCGATTATCTTACCATTTTCATCCTTAATGCTAGCCATGATACTGGATAGCGCAGCATCCCTTGCGTCCCTGTCATGGTAAGATGAGGCTTTTACGTCCCAGAGGCTTGGGGACATTTTATAGTACTCAATAAGCTCCTTCTTTTGAGAATATGTTAGCTTCGGCAATTTTGAAGTTGACGCCATTTTGATCGAACAAGTCACATGACACGTCATATGACCAAAAGTCCCACGAGGTCCCATGGAAAGAATGAACATGTTCATTCTTGATGGGACTTGATGGGACTCCGTGGGATTTTGCCCCATCTTGCCCCATCGAGTCCCATCGAGTCCCACCGAGTCCCACCGAGTCCCACGTGGGACTTCATGGGACCTCGTGGGACCTCATGGGACCTCGTGGGACTCGATGGGGCAAGATGGGGCAAAATCCCACGAAGTCCCATGGAGTCCCACGGACTTCATGGGGCAAAATCCCAAAAGGTCCCACGAGGTCCCACGCAATGTTAAGTCTATGGAGGTCCCAACTTGCCCCATTGGTGTATACCGGGCTTAAGGTAACAAAAACTTTTTGAAAAAAATTGAATTTTTTTTTCGATGTCAATCTATTCTAAATATGCTAGACTTTCATAAAAAACTAATGTTGATTGTCTAACCAGGTTAAAAGGAAGAATAAATTATGTTTTAGATATCATTGTACCATTGGTTTCTATGAGAACTAAAATTTTGAAATGCATTTTTCTCAGAACCATTTTCATGCACTGATAAGTTCATTTCTCGCTTGTTTATCAACCGATTTTCTTAATTTTTTCGGCAAAAAACATGGGAGGATGAATGCTATGCATTGGTATGAATTGTGGCTAATTAGAAGATATGAGTGACCTCTAAAAGTTGGTTTTAAATAAATTCACAAATTTTGGAACAAAAAGTCTATCAAAAACCACTTTTTGAAATTAAAAAAAAAGTTTCACATATCACACTTTGATAACATTGGGTAAGACTACAATATAAGCCAAAGTGGTTTAAACTTTACATGGGGCCTTTAATGATTTAAGCCCTACTGGACTTAGTGCAATGTGGAATGACTATTCCTTGAAGGTTTTGCTTTCCAAAATTTGCAAGAGATACGCAGCATCATGGTCATTCCAAAATGCATTGAGTCTTGGGCTTAGATTCTTTTCACACATTGCAAAATATTTTTTACCTGTAACTTAAAAGATACGACATCGCTAAAAGAATATGTTGTCAATTAAACGACTTTCGCAAGGCTAAAGTGGACAAAGCATCAACTTCAATTTTTAGAGCCAAAGTTGTCACCTTGACAACCACATAAAGAATGACCTTGGATGCTGTGATTGGTTATTTCATGCACTGGAGTTATGTGGAATACAATGTTCGGATTGGCTGGAACCGGACACACCATGTCGATATATGTCACTGGTCAGTATCAAGTGAAGGTAACGGCCGTAACTTTCGCATCAAAGATGGAGGATGGTAAGTTCCGATTTCAATATATTTTAGTTTTCATCGAAATAAACTACATTATGGTTGACAAAATGCCTTGATATTTGAACTATATCAGGTATATATGATATGGAAACCATGATATGGAGTATGATCATATTTTCATATACCATGCATAGACTCCACGATTCATATCTTCCATCGCTTAGGGAAGGTAACTGGGATTTTGGTTGTACATATGATAAGATAACTGATATGCGGTGATGCGGTAACGTTATGAGATTTTATAACGGAGAGCTAAGATGTCCAGTTACCTACCGTATCATACATACCCAGTTACATTCCCTTCCCTTATATAAGCGGTGAAAGATATTGTTGAACTATAGCGCCCACGCACAATATATGGACAAATTATCAAACTCCAGGTGAGTTCCCGTGTCATATAAGCCTGATTTTGTTAAATATCAAAGCAAAACGTCAGTCCGTAAGTGTTATGAAAGATACGTTAATTGCCAGCATTAGGGTTAAGAGATCACAAATGAAAAACACCCCTCTGTTGTTGGAGGACTTTATTTCATAATTTAATTAGAAGTCAATTTTACAATTGTACTTGTATTTCATTTTGTTCTGCCTCAAATCCGCATGGTTTTCTTTTATTTGGTTCAAAAACGGCGACTTCACAGAGGGTCAAATAAGCATCAACCAAAGTGTGCTGTATCTGGACCTTTACATAGCGACCAGACAAACCATTTGGACATTGGAAAATCTGCCAATCTTTCCCACATGAACTTAAAGAACCGGTGTGATGGACACACAGTTCCCACTTAACATTGTCTTTGCTCACTTCAATTTTGAAGTCTTTAAGCCGTGCTACAAAATAAACATTTCATGTCAAAATACAATGACATTGTTCGTTAGGCATGGCTCTTGGTTGGTTTGTTGATAAATAAGTGGGCGTAATTAGTTTAGCTAAGTGCATTGCATGTAACAGGCATTCTATCACACTACCCTACCTCGATCGCGCATGCGCGAATTTTTTGGCTTTCAATCAGGTCGTTTTTGAGTATTTCGACTGCTTAGTCAAAAGGTTAATACGTTTTGTGCTCAGAGTGAGTCAATATTGCTATTCGCTGAACTTCAGTGGTGCAATAGTGAAGTCCATGTTCCAAGTTATATGATAGTTGAAGAAAGAATGTAAATAATATCGTTTTAAATTTTTAAATATTTGATATGTCACAGTACACGGTACACAGTTGCAAAAGTTGATCAATACAGGGTTCAAGGAATGTAAATTGTTCAATAGTACAGGGAGCGAGAAAGTAAGCTGATTATTCAGACATGCTATGTCCCATATCTCATGTACATTTACGTTGCAAACAGTGAAAATAATGCTAAAAAGGCCGCCTGTTGATGCTTTGAGGTGTCATCAATTGTTATTTAATCAAAATAAAGTAAACATTATTTTGTAGATTTAGACACGGGCCTTCAGGTCGTATATGCATTTTAGTCATTAAATTAACAAGAACGCTAGATTATAAGTGTTACTAGGTATATCGACTAATTTGATTCATTGCGAAATAAAGTGGCAAACTATTATCGTAAATGTGATTGTTCAACAATATACCTTCTACACCCGCTAGATTAGTTCCACAATTGTCACTCCCTCGACATTGTCTATTAAACAGAGCTACAGATCCAATGTCGTATTGAGAGAGCAAATCAACCTTCCACCAAGGCTTGGTATCACCAACATCACTGCTAATGCATGATAAATGTCCAGCATCACCATCTATATTGCCATCCACTGCTGCGGCAGCTGGGGGAAAACCGCCATGAAGTGACGATTGTGTTGCAACTTTACCAAGTGCAAGGTTGTTCAATTCTGAAATACAATCACTCAGTAATTGCAATATTTCATAGTCGTGTACACCCCCAAAATGCAATCTGATTTTCGACGCCGTTTCGGTGCCAAATTTCGGTGCCGTTTCGGCACCAAATGGACTGACTAGTCCGGTGGCAAATGTTGGTGTCAAAAGGTTTCGCTGACGAAACGGTGTCGAAACGGTGCCGGAACAGCGCCGAATTTTTTCGATGCCGAAACGGCGCCGAATTATATTGGCTGTGTAATATTAATTCGTTTGTGTACAAATTATATCTGTGTTTCAAAATATGTCATCAATGTATTTTCGTCTTGTGATGATAGGCTAATAATCTTTTTAATTTGATGATCTGAACAATTATGACGTATCATTCGGATGATCATTAAAAATAATAATTACTTGATGGCCTTAACACAGCAACTTCACAGAGAGTGAGCCAATTTGTGTCTTGCAGTTGAACCCTAACGTAGCGTCCTTTCATTCCTCTGGGGCAGTAAAAGATCTGACAACCCTTCTTGCAGGGCTCCAGCGCTGCATTTCTGTAGAAGGTACACAGCTCCCACTTTTTTGCGTCTTTGCTTACTTCAATTTTGAAGTTTGACAGACGATCTATAAAAAATAAACACGTCACCAGGGCATCATTTTCAAAAAATCAAGAAACAAGTAATCCAAACAATTATGCGCAGAATAAATTTATAAAAACAGCATGTTTAATTATGGAACCAAATATTTAAACTTCTATAAGTGACTGATTATCTGCAGAGCTTATAGAAATTAAAATCCATGTTCTTATTCATTCTAAGATAGATGTCTTAACCCGATCTTATTTTGTCTGTATCACATTTGTAAGCTTAATAATTACACTGTAACTTCAACTCAACTTGCGCAATTCCTTTTTTCTTGTCTATAATAATATATACTTATCTCATGATACTGTACTACTACTGCTACCCGGTAAATAACACCGGGGAATATTTTTGATATTGAAAGAAAATTAGACAGTCCCTCCTTATCCCTCTCACAATAATGGCATTCACCCCAATGGGAGCTACAATGGTGTTTTTATTTAAAACACTATATTTCCACACAAATGAACATCTAAGCACAAATGAAACAGGGATAAAACCAAAAATTGTAAAGAAACCCAATGAGAAAAGCAAACTCTGAGTGTAAACCTGTCCCAAAACCATGATCTACCGTTAAAATTTTGCTCCGACAGGAATCTGAACAATAGGCTAATTTGTTTGTTACCTTCAATTAACGTGTACCGTATGTTGCATTTCTGATGTTGTTGTGTTTTTGTTATACAATAAAGTTTTTATATTTTAAAAAGCTATATAATTATTTACTGGTCGGGATTTAATATGGATTTATTCCTTGTGACAATATGAAATTTCTCTCTGGCTCTCCGGGCCATCGGGACATTTCATATTGTCCCTCGAAATAAAACCAATACCAATATCCGATCCCTCCCAGGAAATAACCTTCATAAATACAATATATGTCCAAATGTTTACCAGGTCACGCGACTATATATTTTACAAATAAACTTTATGATTACCTTCAACAATGTCGGACGGTCCACCTCTGCAATTCCCTTCTCCACACTGTCTGTTTGATAATTTGACGGACCCAATGGGATAAACTTCCCGAAGATCAACCATCCACC